TTTTCATCCAATCAGAAGTAAAACCAAAGCCAATTGTGACGCGCTCGCATGCATTTTCCCGCGCTTTGCGTCAGCCACATGTAATTACTTCGAGTTTTGATTGGTTCAATGTATTGTCTGTGTCCTATGTGATTGGCCAGAGTAATTACTTTGGTTTTGGTTTTACGACACTCAAACGAAAACCACTCTAATTACAAAATGTCTGATTTTTCTTTCCAAAAGCTTAAGAAAATAGTCCCTTGTCATTTCTATTAAATTGCATGAAAATCTCTTTAGCATGTAAATCTCAATCTTCAGATCCTGTGACCTGCTGTTACAAGTCAACACTGTCAATAACACAGAAGGAAGCTCTTCTCGCAGGGTGTCCGAGAATGAAATTTGCAAACTTTTTGTACACATTTCAGCTGATACATGCACAAACTGTAGTTCCCTGATCTGTTATACCACTTATGTGCCTTCAGTATTATTTCCATTTCTCTGGGGTGTTTCACTGATTCAAAGCAATGTTCCACTGAATTATCCATGTTTACTTTGCTTGGGCTGCAAAAAAGCAAGAGGATTGATAATAAACATAGGGGCAAGCTAATAATGTTGTTTTAATCTGATGTTAATTTATGACACTGTATGTAAACTACAATGTAGAGAAGAAATAATATCACACCTCAGTCATCCGAGTTATTTTCCATAGGGTACAAAAGCCGTCTTAAGTGCATGCTCAACAAGTGTAAACAACTTTTTGGGCTAGACTATTATTTACCTCATATCTTTTTAAACAGATGGTGACAATGAAACAACTCAACCACAACCAGTTGCAAAAGTAGTTGAGACACTGTACTGTATTTTGGCTTAAATGGCATGGCTTGTGCTTCCCCCTCCACCCCTTATCAAAGTTGCTAGCAATACACGACCATGCTCAAAATTTGGAGGAACAACTTTGTATGAGAGGGAGGAGGGAGGTCAGTATTATACATGTCTCTCTACAGTCTTGTGACTAGCAGCGATTTGAAGCAAGAAAGTTCGTTTTTTTGTCGGAATGTCTCAACATTTTTGCAACTGGTTGTACATGTAGCTTCAAATCAATGGCATTTCAGGATCAAATGTGTTAAAACTATTTTCAGTCAAATGACAAATATATTTGGATACCATCGCATCTTGAAAGTAGTTAAATGGTTTTGTGCTCCAGAAAACATTTGAAGGCACTACACGTTTTATGACTGTTTTTCTCTCAAAGATCCCAATTGAGGGCACTGTTTGAACAGAATCAACTGGCAAAGGAACAAGTCATAATCACTTGTTACTGCAGTCCACATGTTCATGTCAGCCAGATGGTGGTCTAGCCATTTCCAAAGCAAATTAAGGAAAAACCTCCGCACTCAGTAATCACTACCAGGGGCGTATCCAGGATTTTTCTTAGGAGGGTTGCACCACTAAGGAATGAAGCAACTGACTGGTGACGTAAATAAGTTTTAATACAGAATACCAGTTGTATTAGAAAGCCGCATGTCATCTCAGGGGGGTTTGCATACGCTCTGCACTCTCCCCCTAGATCTGCCCCTGACCATGACCTGCCACTCTGTAGACTGTAATATCCAGCCCAGATCATACCACTGCATGCAGTTTTTAAAAGGCAGAGATTTTAAGAGTCTGACCTTTTCTTTATGCTTTTTGCTGGCTCTTCTTGAGCTGACGGAAACTCTTCTGTTGCCATACACTTTACGCGCTTCTTCCCTCTCCTCTGCTGTGATGGCATGGTCATCTAGCATAACCAAGCTTGGAAGATGGCTTATAACATAACACCTGCAAAAAAACAACACGGTAGAATCACTCTTCTTTCATTGACAAATAACCAGAAAATAAGCTTGCCCAAAGAGATGAAAGGCTGCCTTGCAAAAAAGAAAAAAAAATAGGTGACCCTTTACATAACATAACATAACATTAATTTTTATTAGCATTCCTATATTAATATACATAAATGGTATTGCTTTTAAACTATTAGAATTATAATTCTAATAATTTATAAAATAATCAAATAAATAGATAGTATTAAACAAAAGTAATAATTAGGAATCTCTATTTCGCATGCTTATGTTTCATGGAATACCATAAAATTCCGAAAATAAGCCCCTCCATGAATAAGCCCAACTACAAGCTAGCCCAATCAATTTTGAAACGCAAATTTCCCTCCGTACATAAGCCCCTTGAATAGGGCCTTTGAAAAATATAAGCCCCAGGGCTTATTTTTGGAATTTTACGGTAAGTTTCTCAAAGTTGAAATGCTTAATTCATAGACATAGTAGCCAAGCTTTTTACACATATGGATCAATATTGTTAAAAGACATGAAAAGACTGCAGGAAAAGACAACACAAAAGATGGTTTTCTATTGTTTGCTAGTCTACAAATAAAAGGGGGGCGGGGGCAGATAGAGACCATGTCAAGCAAAATTTTGTCTTGAAGGAAACAATGCTTAAAGGCACAGTAAACCCCTGAAAAAAAAAACCTCTGTCTGAAACCCAATGAATGTTTTTGTTAGACTACCATATCCATACCTCTATATCTGCCTGGATTTATGAAAACTCGGTCAGCAAACATTTTGTAGATTGTTTCAACTTCCCATGTCTTAGCTTGTTTACTGTGTTGTTTGCTTATGTCATTTTATTTTATTTTACTTTATTTTTTTTTGGAGGGGGGGGGNTACCGGCAAATATGGTTTTCGTTAGTTACCTTAGTTACTATGTTATGTAAAAAATAAATAAATAAAAGAGTTACTGTCTTTCTTCTTTTTTTTGTTTTTGTTTTTTTGGTTTTTTTGTTTTTTTTGTTTGTTTTTTTTGTTTGTTTTTTTTTTTTTTTTTTTTTTTTTTTTTTGTTTTTTTGTTTTTTTTGTTGTGTTTTTTGTTTGGGTGGTGGTTGTTTGGGGGTGGGGGGGTGTGGCATTGTTTTGTGGTTAGGGATTTGTGTGAAAGTGGCCGTGGAGGGAATTTCATGAATTTGCATTCTTTCTACTCCCCACCCCCCTACCCTCTCTCTTTCTGTCTCCTTCCCTAAAGGGTGGTTTTCTGTCCCTACCCAGAATTCTCTATTACAAGTGACAGTTATTTGAAATCAGTGCACCTAAAGCTGGTTTCGTAATTACCCATGGCACAATGTTGTGTGATGTGTGAAGGGGAAATTCTCACTGGTTACATTGTGAGCAATGACATTTTATAAACTGAAATTTGGTATTCCTACCCCTAAACTTTGTCACTCTCACAATAATTTGAGGAAAAAAATAAAGAAAAATAAATATTTTTTGACATTACCTGTAATCCTTGTACTGGTGATACGTGCCACCATTAAAATAACTTGGAGCTGCTTGATTGTTCATCATGCTGAAGTATTTCAGGTTTGGAAAGCACATGGCTACAGTCTCTATAAAAGCGCTCAAATTTGTAATTTTATTGTGGTTTACCCACAAAATGTGAAGTGACCTAATTACAGGAAATTTAACGTGACTAGTGAGATTATTGTCATCCAGAATTAATGTATTCAGATTGTCAGTGTCTCTCAAAAACTTGAAGTCCCTATGATTGGTTATTAAGGAAAACAGGTGTTACATGAAAAGGAATGAAAAGGCCATAATACAGAGTGGAAAAAGGCAGACTCAAGCAAAGGAGGAACAACATGGCCAGAACTTAACCCAGCCTCTGTTGCATCTAAGAGTACTGCTACATGTTCCTTCCCCTCAATTTGATGCTAGCTACCTAGTCCATGCAAAAATATCCCCAGAAAAGGGCTGTCATGGTGAGGGATGGGAATTTCCCCTGGCTGCTACCATGAACATGAGCCTATTTGCATCTGCCTCGTCCCCAGTCGCTCGCGATCACAGGGGGAAATTTGAGTTAATTATTAGGGAAAGAGGGGACGAAGGGAGTTCCTTCCCATCACTCCCCACTCACGCTCTACGCTCGTTCCCATCATCCCTCTCTTGTGCTTCTCGCTTGTCTCGAGTGCTCACAAGTTCCCCAATCCCCATTTACACTTGGGAAAGCCAGTGGAGGAGGCAGTATTTACTTGGAAAAGATAGGATAGGATTTGTGACAATTTCATTGAAAAACAACATCCTTAAGTACTCACATAGAGGCTCAAGGGATGTCCGACTACTGCACATGTGAATTCCTTTATTAAACCCCCACCCCCTAGAATTACTAGCTTGGCTTTGAGTTCTGATACAAAAATTTGAATTTCCGGCAATGATGTAACTAAGAGCATCAACTCTTCAATTAAAAGTAATAATATTCTTGATCACAAATGACTAGCAATTTGTACAAAATCGCTCAAACCCCTGTGTAAGGATTTACTGGCAGACTAGTATATATTTAGAAAGGTAAAACAATGTGTCTTAAACTTCAGAGCATTACACGACAATGTTAGCTTAAGGTGGCTGAACACAGTTCTGTGGGCGGTCAGCAGTAAATTGCGTGACGATGCGTGTTTTAGATTAGACAAACAAACATGGCGGCAAAAAAGCAGTGGTACACAGAAGACAATTTCTCAAACTCTACTCATTAAAATTTTGTGATATTTGGCAGAATTTTTACTTTTATCGTTAAATAATGAGAACTTTAAAATGGAAGTTGACCAGACGAATTTTGTGACACATTAATAATTACAGTACAGTTATATCGCTGATTATCTAAAACCCGCCTGTTAAAATTTGGTCAAATAAGTTTCAAATCATGGAAATGATTAACTATAGTAAGCTGTGTGCAAGTTTATAGGAAAATCTAATGAGCGAATTTTATGTAAACTGAGGAATTTTAAGGTTGTATTCAATCGTTCATGCTGCCATGGAAACTACGAAAACTCAAATTTTACCTGTCAATCAAAATCTTTCATCAGTATATTTTTCACTTGCCAAGTTTCAGCTTGTGAGCTTCAACCTTTCTCTTGTCATGACTTGGCAAATAAATACACTGACAAACTGCTAAGATTGTGTTCAGCCACCTTAAATTATTAACACCGGCCAGTCTGGGAGATTTCGGCACATCCCAATATATTCATTATGGTCATTATGCATGCAGCAATCTTATACAGTCCCTATTTCATGCTATTTCAAATGATTAGAGTCGAAACATGTATGCATAATAAATAAATGGGCTGAGCAGAAATCTTACTCTTTACCGACAACGATTTAGTCTTCCATATCATTATTACAACGGCAGAAACTGCACAAGGATACGACAAATTGTTGTGGCTCAAATCCAACGCTGTAATGTCACCGAAGCTCAACTTTTTGTGCCAGCCTTCGGGAAGTTCACTCAAATCTCGATAAGCTAGAGAAATTCTTCCAGGGTCGCTAGGATCAGGCCAACTTATTGAATTCATCGTAAAAAAATCGCTGTGGCATGCCTCTTCACCGGTGTTTTACGCACGTCCTCACGTCTCGATTATAAATTGTGTCACTGTTTCTTTTACACGGGTAGTGTTAGTATCAAATTTCTGAGTGTGCTAAAAATAACTTTAGCGCAAGTGATAGAGAAAAGCACATGATTTTAGGGAGTATTTTAATACTTTTCTCATAAGCATTAACAGTCACGTTGAAAATTGATAAAGTCTTCTTTCGGCAATTCTTCTGACAAGTTAACCCACCCTACCTCCTCCTACCTTTCATTTTTTTCCAACTTCCTTTTTATTTGAGCCCGCAATCATGACAATGAAGAAATCATGGAAGAAATAATTAACCGCCATTTTCAAAATGGCTACCGTAGATGAGCTAAAAAACGGTAAGAAAGTGCTTATTTATTTTGGCAGATTTCCCATTGTTCATCGGCTATTGAAGGCATAGATTTCCTTTATTATCTTTCTCATCAGTTTTAAAAGAAACTTTAGAAAACAGAGGCGTTCTTGGTCAAATTCGAGCTCGAATTCGAGCGGAAGTCTTCAGCGCATTGGATGATCAGGTTGGAAGCTATAAACTATCACAAGAGCCAGAAGATTAACTTTATGTTGTGGTACATGAAGTTAAGCTCTCATGAATTAAATAAGTGTTTTTTGCTATGTATAGACTGAAGCAAGACCGACACTATCAAATGAGAATCTTCTCATCAATGAATTGATCAGAGAATACTTGACGTTCAACAAGTACAAATACACAGAATCTGTGCTTTTAGCAGGTACACTGAACACTTATTTAGTTATGTTTTGTTTTTTTTATGGGTTTATTTTTTTCTCCAAGTGACTGAATGCTTATAGTGATGATTATAATAATATACCCATCAAATTGTTTCCTATCCTAAAAAGCCTGGACCCTCATAAATCATAAACTAACCTAAAACCTGGGCCAAATGTCTTAATTTTTGTCGTAAAATCTTCACTTCAAGTATACCCACCTTTTATTAGGCAGCCTGGATCTCCCAAGTGCTTTAACGGTTGGAACACATTTCATTTTACAGTATTGTTCTATTATGTTCCCTTCCCCACAGAAACAGGCCAGCCTAAGGATCCAATGGACAGACAGTTTCTTGTTCAGGAGCTTAACATCACAGAAGACCAGACTGCATCACCTTCCATGTAAAGTGAAAAATGTTTCTTTTCTGAACACAATAAGTTGTTTCAAGACTGTTACTCAGCTCAATGGTGTAATTCTCCTGCAAAGCTAAATGCTTTCAGAAAAATATTTTTTCTCCTTCTACATATTTGTTTGTGGAGGTGTGTGTGGCCGAGCGGTTAATACCTCGACGTCTGGATCTGGAGGTCTAGGGTTCAAGCCACACCCTTCCCGTTGTTTCCTTAGACAAGGAACTTTACTCAACTTTGTCTCTCTTCACCCAGATGTAGAAATGGGTACTGGTATGGCTTAACTTTTCAGACCCTCTTCCGACTACTAGCATCCCATCCCGGGGGGAGTAGCAATACTCCTAGGCTTGCTTCTTGCTATGGAAACCGGTAATAAGCTCTGGCCGTGTGGGCCTTTGGCTCGTGTGCGCCTTTACCTTACCTTAAAGTTTTACATATTT